GGAGTAAAGGGTGGGGGAAGGCAGTGCACTTCCTCTTTTAACATCCAAACCCTTGGGAAAATTAAGGGCACTTGCAGATGGTGTCTTGCTTTGGTCATACTGTTTTTCTCCTTACACCTTGCAGAGGTCAGCTGGGAGACAAAGACTGCTCGGAGGGCGGCAGGTAATTTGGAGGCTCAGGCTCAGGCTGGGTTGGGGGAGGATAGCACAGGGACCCTTTGAGGATCTGAGGAGAGAAAGAGATGGAAAGTGCCCAAGAAGGGAGAACCTCAGAAGCAACTCCTGCCGTATCACAAGAACCTTTGCTTCAGACACACACCTTCTCTGTGTGTGTGTGTCTGTCATGCTTCTAAGGAAGGGACAATCATTTGTAAGATTGTTTCTATAATAAAACTTGCTCTCACTTCAAGTCAAGCTACTTTCAAAGGAGGTTTGGTGACATCATAGCCTCTTACATTAAGGGCTGTGTTTATTTCTGAGCTCTGCGGCTCATTTGTACCCTCATAAAGTGACTGTTGAGTAGGCCTCAGGGTGGACTGGATATGATTGTGAGATGGAACTATATTGCTTCTGAAACTATGTAAATGATTCACCAAAGCTTTAAATACATAAATCGCGTTTTTTGCATTTTGGCAAAAAGAAAAAAAAAAATCTGACCTGTATTTTGACTTCTGAAGAGTCAGAAGTGTAAGTAGAGAGAGTGAAGGGAAATGTGTTTCTTCTTTTGGAGGAAAAATTCAGTCGTCTCACCCTTCCCAGCAAAATAACACAGAGAAGATGACATTTGTTCCCGTTATGGAAAATTCTGGCAAGTTCAGTACAACTAAGATGTAAATGCATTAATGATTGGAAAATAGTTGTTTGGGAAAAACAACCACATTTGGGGTCTCCTCATCTCTGTGATACCCACACAAAATGGTTAACAGAATTCCTGGGCCTGCTTAAAACCCACTAGGTTTAAAGACCCTGAGGTTGGCAAACTCAATTTACTGCCTGTGTCCCTAGCCTCTAATACCTGTTGTAGCGCGCCACCTACTGGTTCTACTTAAGACTGCGGTCAGTGTTTTGTACTAGATTTCCTCAGCCTTTGTATTTTATTGAGCATTCTTTTCAAAGGATGGCAGTATCGCCAGAGCATGAGTGGCCCATGTGTAACAAAAGCCACTGAGTTCTCATTCTTTCAGTACATGAGTTTTATGGAAGGCACCTTGGAGACATTGCAGTCACTCTTCCGACTCTAGACCAAAACCCAAAGCCAAGGTCAATACCAGTAGGGAAAGTGGTCTCTTCAGAGATAGGCTCAGTAGTTACAGAGTATAGATTCTTTCTGTAAATAAACAAACAAATGCCCGATTTGTGTTAATGTGTTCTATTCTCTTCCTAAATTTGGTTTCTTTCTAGCTTAGCTTCTCTCCCTTGTTATTGAACGTTAAAATATAGTTAATACATTTAAAAATTAGCACACAGATGTGTGTAAAGCTGTCCCACCTCGTCTTATTAACAGCTGAGAGCGTACAGTTTTCTTTGCATGTCCTTCACCTTCTCTTGTTCCATATCCCGTGACGACACAAAGTATGATCAGTCATTTTAGAAGCGACCAAATTGGGAACAGAGTACTGTTCGACATGCGAATGGACAGTGAGTGAGTTTGGTTCTGTTCATAGTGATATTCGACTTTTGTGCAGTCTTTGATTGTCCAGTGATGCCTTGTTTAGGAGTTTTGAAATGAGATAGTCTAATTCTACCACTCCCTTTTCACTCACTAGCCGAAATCCTTCTATGATGAGAAATACCCCTTCACCAGTGATTGGGTTACTCTTGAGGTACCATTCTGAACACATAAACATACCTTTACAATTATTTTTTTAATACAAATAAATCAAGTTTTATTAGGGCAGATGCTCCATATTAGACTTTACTTTTTTCTCTTACGATTTCAAGTCTTGTGAAGCATGAAGTTCCTTAAATTTAGATAAAACATAAACATTAAAGAATGCAAGGGATTTAAATAATGTCTTAAAATGAGAAGAGATGTAGTAGGTTAACGCATCATTCATTTCTAAATGCATTTAGTAGTCACTGCTGTGGGTATTAGGAAAAGTCATTAAAGGCTTTATGAGCTAAATGGTGGAGTTAGAGTTTGAACCAGAGCCCATGGTAAACTGTGCACTCTTACTGGTAGTGAGGGGGGTGAGGTACCTACCGTGAGGCATACACATGCTGGGAAGCTAGTGCCCTGGTGCAGTTGGGAAGTGACGAGGCTCTAGGTGAGGTCTCAGGCAGGATGTAGGCTGCTAGTCACTTTTAAACAATTCGGTCTGAGGGTTTTGTTGTTTTGTTTTTTTTTTTAGATTTTATTTATTTGTCAGAGAGAGAGAGCACAAGCAGGGGGAGCAGCAGGCAGAGGGAGAAGGAAGCTCCCTGCTGAGCAGGGAGCCCGATGCGGGAGCTCGATCCCTGGACTCTTGGATCATGACCTGAGCTGAAGGCAGACGCTTAACCGGCTGAGCCACCCAGACGCCCCAGGTCTGAGTTTTTTAAAACGGCAGAGGGGACTGACCTCTAAGGCTAGGTATGTTAGCAAAGAGGCAGATACTTGACGTTGCTCCAGAAGTTGGACCTGACAAATTTACGTGAATACAGTATGTATGTCTAAAAATTGTATACGTATTTGTGGCAAAGAGTTTTGCTTTGCTTTCAATTTCATAGCGAGGATGCAGATCTCCTGCTTGAGTCTCCAGACCTGGACCCTTTCATTATGCACCTGATAATAGGACTGCTTTCATTTAGAAGGATTTGCATCAAGATACACTCCAGTAGAGTGAATGAATCTGTAAGAGTAAATTCAATTTAAAAGGCTTGGGGGAGGGGTGGCCATTAAATTCAATTTAAAAGGCTTGGGGGAGGGGTGGCCAGCCAAGGGTGAGGGCTACTGAATTACCTGACCTCATTGATGTAAGCAGGAGGCCTCACATCTTGTTTACAGTCTGCTAGGAGGCACCGGGCAGCAGTTCTTAGAACCATATCCATCTCTGCAGCTGCTAGGCTGGGAACTGGTTAATAATAGATCCTAAGACACAAAAGGGGTTTTCATCCTTCATTATGAAATCATCCATTTTTCACTGGCTGTTGGGGTTTGTTTTTGCTGGCATGCATAAGAGGGTATTAGCACCATTGATTTGAGCAGCCTGGTATTAAATTGTGTTCACAGATTATAATACATACTGTGATGTAGGAAAATAAAATTCGAAGTCCGAGCCTTATGTTGAGTTAATGACGATACTCACGTGTTGTCATGAGACCCAGAACAGTCTTCCTTCAACGGAGCAAGGGAGCACAAGAATGACACAGTATTGTTTTTATAATTGTACGGGAAGCTTTCCTAGTATAGCCCACAGAGCATGGATACAGCAAACTGCAGGACTGCGGTCGTGGAGGTGGGGTTGGGGCTGGGGAGTTGTCATACTGAAATACAGGAGGGAACCTGGAACCAGAGACTTCTGCAGCTTTTTTGGGTAGAATGCAGTCTGGAACTTGTTCACTTTCCCACCTAAAACAGAGTGGTCCAGAAAAGACCTTGCCTCCAACCAAAGCTCTGTGAACCCTTAAGACGAATTTGGATAGTAGGTGCCTGAAGCAGGTTGTTGAAGATCTGGGTACTAGCTGGGCAGTGATTCCAAAGCCTATGAAATGCAGCTGAATGTTGAGCAGACTGAATATTTTGTCTTGTGGGGAAGCAGTTGGCTTGATGTAGGTAAGTGCCGGAAGTGAACTAGTCCAGAACACTGAAGGAAAGGGAAGGATAACACTAGCGTAACAACAGGAGAAGAGAGAGGCCAAACAGGATTAAGATGGACATTTCCTTTACATTAGGCTGAAGATTCGCTTATTTCCTAATGAAGACTTGGAGTGAATACAAACTAATAGTCTTCATATATAAAAAGTGCTTAGAAAATAATGGGCAGCCTCTGGGGAGGGGTGCAAGGCCCTAATATAGGCATTTCTCTAGAGGAGACATGCAAATGGTAAATAAAGATGGAAAAAAATTGACTTTAATAATTAAATCAATTTAGAATAAAAATAGTTTGCCATTTTGAAACTAGCAAACAGTTTGTTTTTTTTTTAAGTGGTAATACACATTGCAGGTGGATGTGTTGAGAAATGGGTTCTTATTTTATTCACGGAAATAATAGAATGCTCTAAAAATAGAGCATTTTTGCTGGATAATGCATCAGCTGCTTTGGAAAACGTGCATGCTTCTCACCCAAGGATTCCCCTACGTTAGATTAACCCTAAAAATGAATTAAGGATGTGCAGGAGGACCTAAGTCCAAAGATGCTCACTGCCATCCATAATGGTGAAAATTTAGAAGCAACCTCAGTGCCCAGTAAAAAGGGGTACTTTAAATAAACTGATCCGTTCCGCACAGTGGCACGCTGAATTCGATGGTATGGAACCATACTTGCTGAAAAAGAAACATTTTCACAATCAATTGTCAAGTGAAATTATGGGTACTAAATAGTATGTGTGCTATAATCCATTTTAAAACAGTTTGGAAGGATAAAAACAAAGATATGAATGGTGGTTGGTTCTAGATTTTCTTTTTGCCTGTCTTGTTTTTTCTTGATTTTTTCTGTAATGAACATAAGGAAAAATGTTTAACACTCATATATCATGTGAACTTCTGGTGAATTGCACAGCACTCTTAAGCAAGCTTGGCTGCTCAGAAGAGGCCGTACATATTGTTCCAGAAATGTCAAGGTTTATGTATTTGAGTTAGAAATGCCAGTTGGCTCTCATCGACTTAGGACCATGGCATCTGGTTTTAATTCTATCAAATGGCATGTTTCATAGGTAAGGAAAATAAATTCCAGCCATTCTGGGGCCAGGGGAGAAGAAGGAGCAGAGGAGGGATTTGAGGAATATTATGTTTTATTTTTTACTAGTTTATATTTAAAGTAACCTTGGGATTCATTTGGACCCCTTGTTTTGTTTTCTAGGCCAAACACCAGAGCACCCTAGAAAGCCAAACTAAAAGAATGCTCATGTTTGACCCAGTCCCTGTCAAGCAAGAGGCCATGGACCCCGTGTCAGTGGTAAGTTTTCCAAAATGGAGCACCTCTTCTTTATTCCCAGTGCCAGTAACATGACTGTGTGTTGTGTTGCTCCTTAAAGTTACTCATCACTTGACAGGCATTTGGCAAACAGACTTTTCTCAAAGCCTCGGTCAGTAAGTGGGGTAAACACCCTTCTAGCAACTGCATCCTTTAATAAATGGGGTCCACATTTCCTCAAGCCCCATGCCCCATGCCCTCCAAGATGTGATCAGCACAGAACTTGGGTCACAGGTGAATCTAGTCATGACAGAAGGAGGCTTTGCAAAAACTCCTCAGTGACCAGCATTTTAGTTTGGGCTCTCAGGATTATTGGTTTTGGCCAAAAAAAAGTCTGGCCAGACTGACTTAAAAATTAATGTGTGCATCTGGGGACATTTAAAAAAAAAAAAAAGTCCTGTACTCAATGTTTATCGTGGTTAGGAAGCAATTTTCAGATGTACTTTTATAAGAAATCTGCATCAGGAATATGATCCTGTGACGTGTTTTTTTACTCAAGATCATCACCACGATCATATAGAAGAGTTCCTTAAAAATGTTTGTGAATGTCTTTTTCTTTTTAATACTGGAAGAAAAAATATCTCGTTTTGTCTCCTGTAGTGTTCAGCATGTCCTTCATGGAGCTGATTTAAAAAAAAAAAAAAAAACCCTCAGTCCTGCATCTAAAAACGTATTCAGAATAAAATGATTTGCTTAAAACCCGCTGACAGCAGCTATATTGAGCTGTGCCTGGGTGAGATGGTTGAGGAGAAGCTAGCGAAAGAGAACGTGGCCGTGAGGTTGGGATTCCTTTCCACTTGGAGGAGTCTGTGGCTGGAAGGGAACCTTGTCTTCTTCAAAACCTTCATGTGAAGTCAGCCCCTCCGTGAGCCCAGCCCCTTGGGATGCTTCTGGGCCCCAGGCGGCTAGGAGTGAGTCCAGGGGCTTCTCGAGGTCCAGCACTGGTGCTGTGGAAATGGGATGGGGTGGTAACAGAAAGGGTCCAGGGACTTCCAGGCAGGGAGTGGTTTGGACTCATGGCCATCTGGTTGGGCCAATAGGAAATAACAAGGCAAGGCTCCCACTCTGTCTTGCTCTTTTCTTCCACGGGCTTGGAAAATAGTCACAAGGGGAAAAACTTGGCCGGGAGTTGTGTATCTGAAGGTTGGTAATGACATGCTTGCAAAATTAGATCATCCTTATGCATCGGCCACTGAGGCTCCTGCCAAAAATGTTTATACAAGACACAGGGGTCACTCGGAGGCCCTTGGAGCTGAGTTGCCATGGGTATGACTGAGCCAGTGACGTGTTTACCGCTGTGTACAATGAAAAGTGAGGTCCAAGTGGCTTTAAGGAAATAACATTTACATTCCAGCGTGATAACTGGATAACCAAGTGTCTGAATACGGTAATAACTGAGCAATAAGAACTTCATTAATCAAAAAACTAAATCGACTTCTAATGTTATTCGGTGCTGTCACCATATTCATCAGCTCCTTACCCCAAACTATTGCATGATCACTGAGGAAAATTGAGGTATAAAATTTCCCTATTAATTATATCCTTGAAATATGAATAGGTTTTTAGTACTGGGGAATATGATTAATTTTATAAATGATGCAGAACCATCTTTGATGCATTTTAATATTCAGTATACTTCCAATGCTTTTAATCAAGCATGAAAATATGGCTGAAGAGCCAATTTAAAGCTCAAATGAAGATCCTCATTGCTAAGTTGGTATGATATAATTAAGTGCAAGCAAATGCACTTGACTGAAAAAAAAAAGGAAGTAAAAGGAATTTGAAGTAACATACTTATAATCCTGTAACTTATATAAATGCATGAAGTTAAAATACATAGAAGTATTTTTGCAATTAATGGTCTTTTTCTCCTTCCCACTCTAGTTTTCAACTTCCAGCTAACACTTAGAGAATTTAATTAGATCATTTCACCAAAAGTTAGTATCAGTCCTTACAATGAAATTTCTTTTTCTTAATTCAGCAAAACCTCAGTTAACTGAAACATTTGGGGAGTGTGGGGTGTTGTGATTATTTTACTTAACAAAACTCAAAAAGTTTTGTTTCCACTCTTGAACCTTCAGATTTTCTTTCCTGCCTCTGTAGGTGGAGTGTGCTAAGTCTAATTTATTATGCCTTTATTCCACCTTTTTTTTTTTTTTTTTTTAATTCCACCCTTGACCTGAAGGTTGATTACCTGTTTGGTATTTTGCTATAGTTTAGAGAAAATAAGGAATTGTCACTTCTTTCTTAGTGAAATGTAAGCCTCAGTACCCTCCTCTGCTAAACCTTGTGCTTTGAGGCAAACAGGAAGGCTTTGGATTGTCCTATGAACATTTGCAAGAATGTGGAGCAGAGACCACCCCCTCCCCGCACTGTAGGTCTCTCCTACTTCCTATCAGTGTGATGCTGGCAAACTCCCAGTGGCTCCCTGAGCCTCTTTTTTCTTTCTATAAAATTAGAGACAATATGTACAATGTGAGACAGCATGTGATACAAAATGCACATGTAACAGAGTTGCTTTTACTAATACATTGTCAAAGACGGTTGGAAATTAAAGAATTTAATTCAGGAAGTGAGAAAGAAAACAAAGTTTTGAAAAGTATTCTTTCTTATTTTATTCCTAGAGGAAGATTACTTTTGAAAAAAGTGTGTTTTTCCCCCTTCCTTTCTTGTAATGAAAATTATCCTCTAACAGACTCCTTACAGGTTCAGAAGTACTTAAAATCAGTAGTACTTCTGTTCTGTTCTCACAGAAACTTTCATGACTTTTCTGAGCCTGGTAGAAGGAGAGCTTTCTACTTTTGTTTGCACAGAAGGGTATGACATTTGCTGTTTCCAGAGTGTGTGTTTATAAACGCACCACGCCTTCCTGCGCTGGGAACCCCACCCTTGGTATGAAGATCCCTTTGACTTGCCTTTGCCCTGTCATGGATGTTCACTGTGTTTTCATATTCAAGAGCAGTGAGACAGAGACTCTACTACCCAGGTTTCGTGCAGTCACTCCGTCCGCTTCAACTGTCCTGTGGTGGAAAACTCACCCAAACTATTCCCAATAAACCAAGAAACGATTGAAATGCTCACTTAAGTACAAAGTGGTAGCTTTGGAAAATCAACCAAACCCCCGTTCCTTCTTCCCTGTCACAATTGAAATCCTTGTTTTCGAGAATCAAAAGAATGGGTACTACCCTTCATCTTGACAGTAGTAAAAACCTGCACAGAGTGTACCTTGATTCACTTCATTCATTCATCACGTGTTTGTCGATGAATGCCAGACCCACATCTCCCATTCTAGTAAGAGGAGGCAATCAGCAAATAAATTACACAGGGTGAACACATGAATGTGTGGCCCAACAGGAGAGAACTTCTTGAAAAGTTAGAGCCCTTTACCATCCCTACTGAGGGCCGGAAGATCGGAGAGACCCTTGCCAGAGTCCTGTCTTCAGGCTGCTCTGTTCCAGGATATAAGGCCTCCCTGGGTAAGCGGTGTGCACAGGGGGAGTGGATAGCTATCCGTGGCTAGAGGACCTTTGGCTGCCTCCTCAACACTTGCCTCTGATTTCGATTTGGGGCTACTACAGCGCCTTTTTGCACTGCTTTGCTAGAAGATAGGAAAGGTCTGGAACAGGGAGCAGGCAGCTCTTGCCAGGGTGTGCTCAGCTAAGGCACACACCCAGAGGAATCCCGTATCTGTCCTTAGGCTGTGGAGAACCGGATTGTTGGAAGCTGATTGTGGTAGCTTGGGTGCTCCACCCAAATAATGAAAGCAAACACATCTTACAGAAGGTTCTGGTAAACACTGCTATGGAATTGTCTAGTGAGATGGTGTGAGGAACCACATTTCTTCACCATTTTTACACAAGGCGGTCAGACTGGAAATAGTTAATTGTGTACTCTGTTGTGTATCCAATGCGTCTCCCGACTTTTAGCCCCGTAGCCTTGCAAACACTGCACATCGGTGCAGGGGGGACGGGGGGCATCCACTGGGGAGCAGAGTCAGCAGGAATGTGCATAATGTTTATAAAACTTGGCCTGATGTGTGGCTTTCTCTTCCTTGATGGCTTGAGAAACCTAAGAATATTATTAAACTTGCAAATCTCCCAGGTTCTAAATTCCTGCTTTCCTTAAACTCACCCCACAGTTAGAAAAATCCAGCAATGACAGCAATAAAATTGTGTCCTCGTTTTGCTTTCTATTTAGCTGCCAATAACTTGGCATTAAAATCTAGGTCATAGGGAGGTCTTTGAAGAATAGGGCTGAAAATAAGGGAGAAGCTACATTTTGATGAGTAGGAACAATTAGTGCTGCCTCCCATTTCCTAACTTTTTGTTTCTAGTACCAGAACTTTTGCCCTTTTGAGAATCGTATAAAGTAAGTTAACCTTTAGAACTAGGAGAAATCTTTCTCCCCTGTATTTAATGACTTCTTTAAACCTTTGTTGTATATATTAGAATTTTTTTTTTTTTGGTTAGCAAATCGCTGCCTCTTAACATTACCTATTTTAATTTTTAAATGTAAATATATTTAATATTAATATGGCTGTATGTTTTGGGCCTCTCACCCTGTGGTATACTTATATGTTCCTGGTTCTAAAGAAAGGTAGTATTAGTCTTTTCCTCCTTTGATTCTTGATACAAAACTCAAAGCTGTTTTCAGAAACAATTTATAGGGCCGCCTGAGTGGCTTAGTCGGTTAAGCATCCGCCTCTTGGTTTTGGCCTAGGTCATGATCTCAGGGTCATGGGATGGAGCCCCACGTCATGCTCCACGCTCAGCATGGATTCTCCTAGGAATTGTCTCCTTCTCCCTCCCCTTCTCCCACCCCAGCCCCGCTCATGTGCACACATGGGCTCTCTCTCTTTAAATAAATTAATCTTTTATAAACCACAATTTATATAATTTTGCATTTCCTGATTTTATATCCCTCACGTCCTTGTTTTTAAGCAGTATTATTAGTGAAAAATTCTTCCCCCACCTTTAAATTGTTTTTGAATGGTTTACCAAATTTTAATACTAAAAGTTAGTATTTTTATTCTATCCTATATCTCTTTGTCATTTAGAGCCATGCTGTTCAAAAGGGGTCTGTGCACGTAGGGCTGCTCCCCAGAAACTCGGAATCTGCATTTTGGCAAGATGGGTCAGGTGCATTCGTGCACAGTGAAGTTTGAGAAGCCCTGATTGGATCAAACCCATTACAGTGCTGCTACTTGTCTAGAAAAAGAAGGGACTTCTAGCACCACAGTGTATGTTAAGCTCAATACATAGCTTATCTCAGTGAATTCAATTTTACTTTTAACTTCACGGCCTCCTAGAATGTGGGTTTTCAATATCACCTTGACAAATTTTGCCCTATCTTCATGGCACCTGCACTTCTAATATTTAGTGAATAATTTTTCCTGCCCTCTTTTGTAGAATTGCTTTTATTAACGTAATAAATGCATTTTGAAAAGGATATTTGTATCACTACTGTTAAAAAAAAAAAGTGTTTCTTAACGCATTTAAATAAACACATGACTGTTTTAAAGCTCTGTGTGTTCTTTGTGTACTATCTAGAAGTATCTTTGGAGCCCTCTACTGCAGGAGTCACTATTCTAGGAGATCATAGAGATTGCGTTGACAAGGATAAAGAAAGGAGAAAAGAACAGAACACACAATCTTAACGATGAGAAACTGACTTCAAAAGCAGATAAAGATAAATACTGCCTGGTCCCATACCCCCCATATTCCCTGATACTTATGCCTGGTATGCCCAGAGAAGGGAGTTTTCAAAAACAACACAGGAGATGCATAGCCAGGTGGAGATTTCACCTAGTGGAGGCCCAGAGAAGGAAGGGTATGATCTCCGTAGTAATCCCAGTAAAAACCACTGTTGTCCCGCAGTCATTTATAACTCACAATAGTGGCCACTTGGGGGACTGGGGCGGCTCAGAAATTTATCATGTATTTAAGCTCTTTAATGATAAGGCCCCATTGGTGGGTTTTCTTGGTTGTATCATGAGCTAGTATTGCCTCAGAATGAGAACTGCATCGGATTTGAGTGCTGGAAGAGAGGCATAGTATGGTGCTTATCACTTTCAGTATAAAGTATTCCAATACAAGTAGTATTCTGCAGGGACTCCTGGGTGGCTCAGTCGGTTGAGCGTCTGCCTTCGGCTCAGGTCATGATCTCAGGGTCCTGGGATCGAGTCCCACATCGGGCTCCCTGCTCAGCAGGGAGTCTGCTTCTCCCTCTCCCACTCGCCCTGCTTGTGTTCCTTCTCTCTCTCTCTCTGATAAATAAATAAATAAATATTAAAAAAAAAAAGTAGTATTCTGCAGATGGACTTGACATGTTACCACTTAAAGTTTCAGTTTCCCTAAAATACCTACGAGTAAAGAAAATAGCTTATGTTGGGTTTATTTTTTTTAAAAGCATCCTACAACAAAGTTTTTCTTTCCAATTTTAGTTAAGGATGGAAGTCATTCTAGTGAATTCCATGGCCAAGGACCGCACCCATAGTGTGCAGTGATTATGACTTTTGTATTTAAAGCTGGTAGTAGTCCATTATTTTGATACTACAAAAGAGGAACGTATTTAAAGAAATTAGGTCAATTGTCAGATCTTAGGTTTGGAGGAAACACCACCGGGCCCCAGTTTGTGTGCAAGTCGCTTCAAGCACCGTGTGTCCTTATTTGAGTCCTCTTAGCTGTCTCTTACAGTTCTGTGTCATGTGCAAATTTGGACATCAAGTCACCTTCTACAGTTTCATTCAGACTGTGACCAAGACCATTGAACAAGCTGGGGTCAGGGACATAATTGTGCTATAGTGGGTGGCCTTCAGCATATAGGTGAGCAGGATGACTGACCATCCTGGTTGTCTAAGACTGAGGCGTCCTGGGATGTAAGGCTTTTAGTGCTAAAACCAGACCGTCTGGGGCAAACCAGGACTGGTGGTCAGGTCACCCCAGGCATGGATTGGTCAGCAGCTGAAGCTCCCCCCCCCAATGTACTGCTGCGCAGCTCCATTTCTCCGTATTCTACACAAGCATATGGTGAGAACTGCACATGTCCTGCTGCTGAGGGGAAAGCTTTCCTGCTGACTGAGAAGCCCCATCAGCAAAGCATCAGGGTTCGTTGGCTTGGCTGGCTGTTGGTGAACCCCGACACTCCTACCAATCAAGGCCCATAATAAGTCTTCTGTTTATGACCTGTTTTATTTAGAATTTTTGCCCAGTATCAACCTCAACCTTAACATTTGATGTGGGAATCATCTTAGAATTCAATTTGAGATTTTTCGTGGGACACAGTTATCCCATTGACCTTAACATTTATTAGACCAGCCCCCTCATAGCATTTCTTTTAGGGTCACTAGACATCTAAATGTAAGCCGCTTATTGAGCCCACCTAATTGAGAGGGCCTTGTAGTACATTTTCATTTTCATTCACGTTTCCCAAGGGAATGCACCTGTGTCATGGCTTGGACGTTTCTGTTTTTCCTTCCCGATAGTCCTACCCATCCAATTACATGGAGTCGATGAAGCCCAACAAGTACGGCGTCATCTACTCCACACCGTTACCGGATAAGTTCTTCCAGACCCCGGAGGGCCTGTCGCACGGGATGCAGATGGAGCCGGTGGACCTGACCGTGAACAAGCGCAGTTCCCCGCCCTCTGCAGGCAATTCTCCTTCCTCGCTGAAGTTCCAGCCCTCGCACCGGAGAGCCTCGCCCGGCCTGAGCATGCCCTCTTCCAGCCCGCCCATGAAGAAGTACTCGCCACCTCCCCCGGGCGTGCAGCCCTTCGGCGTGCCGCTGTCCATGCCCCCGGTGATGGCCGCCGCCCTGTCCCGCCACGGCATCCGCAGCCCCGGGATACTGCCCGTTATCCAGCCCGTCGTGGTGCAGCCGGTCCCCTTCATGTACACCAGCCACCTCCAGCAGCCGCTCATGGTCTCCTTGTCGGAGGAGATGGAGAACTCAAATAGCAGCATGCAAGGTAAATGCCGCGGCCGCTGTTGTGGCGCGGTGGCGCTCGGGGTCTGCACCAGCGCGTGGCGCGCGCGCGGCGCTCGGGGCCAGCTTCATATGCATGCTGCTTGCTGGCAGAGTAGTGGTCGGGGGAAACGAGAGCGCCCCCCCACCCGATTTCCTTTCTGCTGTAATTTTGCCAAAGGTAAACAAATACTCCACACATCAGTGTTGTAGATAGAAGCTGTACAATAAACTTTTTAAAAGCTGAAATTGGTAAATTGTACATGGAGTGACTTTTCTATTTTTATTTTTTAGTACCTGTAATTGAATCATATGAGAAGCCTATATTACAGAAAAAAATTAAAATAGAACCGGGGATTGAACCACAGAGGACAGATTATTATCCTGAAGAAATGTCACCCCCTTTAATGAACTCAGTGTCCCCCCCGCAAGCACTGTTGCAAGAGTAAGTATGTTCAGATCTATCGGACATTTGCGTAGCAGCGCGGATCTTGGGACCTGGATTGGAAGCACACACTTCCAACTCATGGCGTGGTGTGGATTGCCAGGAACACCTTGCAGTAGGTGGCAGCCCCTGGGAAAGATGGGGAAATCTCTCCAAGGGCAATGTGTTCTGCTCTATCAATTGCATTATGACATCTATGTCAAGTTGGCAGCAAATTGATCACTCAGGATTTGCCACTTGTCACATAAATCATTTTTATCTCAGTGTTTTTTGGGTGTTTTTGTTTTATCCTCCCAGACTATACATAGTTTTCCCATAATCTTTAGTAAAAGGCGAAAGATTTATGCGTTTTGAAGAGAAACCAGAGTATTCCCATAATCTTAATCCCAATATGGATTGAATTTGGTATTCTAGATATCCTGCGTAAGGTTGGATCATTTAAAACTTTATAAGACACACCTCGTCCTTGCAGTTGTCACCTCTAATACTGTTTCTGTGATGGGGAATGTCTTGAATCAGAATTTTCAGGCCAGCCATGAGCCCAAGGAAGTCAGTCCAAGAAAGACCTGTAAATAGTGGTGGCAACAGAAAGTAGTCCATGTAGCTCAGAGAAGTTCAGTGTTGGAATAACCCATTATTCTCTGATCTCTTTCATCACATCTGCCCTTAGAATATTCAGTTCGCTTTAGAACTGCCAACCAGGAGGAAGGTTTCTGTATTGACCTACATCCAAACACCGGACAGTGGTTTGTTTTAGGTCTGACTTGCCATAATGTGACAGGTGTCATATACAAGTTAAATAGCATCACTGATGGGATTTGCTACAATAGAAAGCCTTGCTTTCTACTGGAGACTGTGTTTGGAGGAGCTCAGAAGGTGACCTTTGGGTCGGACATCTTGGATCCCAGCTCTGCCCTCCACCCTAAGTATGACCTTGGCCTAGTCAATCTTGCTGCCTCTCTGTCCTCTTTATTTTCATTATCGGTTGTCATTATTTTTCTTGTAATGGTCTTGTGTTGTGGCACTTTCAAGGTTGGCTGCTATGGCCAGCGTCCTGGTATAAGGTAATAGTTACTGTCCCCTCCAGGTCTCTTCCATCATCTTTCTCCCATAGCACTTTGTTCCAACTTGAAACAGAGTTCTGCCCACCTTTCTGCTTCATCTTTTCCCCCCTCCCTTACCGAAGTCATTCTGCAACGGAGTGTGCATTCTCTGGCTTTCGAACCACTATTTTCTGGAACTTAAAATACATTCTAGTTCTATCCACATTCAACCCAAGTGGGTGCCTTCATAGTAGGTCATGTTAAGTGCCCATTGCACCAAGTCCTAGTCAGGTGTTTGGGGGGAGGGGTTGTCTTCACTCCCTGAGAGATGAAGAAGAGAAAGAATCCTACGAGTAGCCACATCAGCAGGGAGAGAGTGTCGGATGAACTCATACATTATTACCTTTCACGGTTGCATAATGTGCCCCCCCTCCAACCTCCAATGAGACTTTCTCACATGTTTTCAAAGGATTTATTTCATTCCCCCACAACAAGCATGTGGGAGTCGGAGCAAATGGAGACGGGTGAGCCAAGACATTAGATAACTCGCCTAGCAGTGGGGCCCAGGCTTGATCCCCTGCCACCCAATGAGGGCTCTTCCTGCCACGTCCCTGTCTGACCAGTGCTTCCCACTCCTCTCTCGGGTGAAAGGAGACGCAGAAAGACCAGCCAAAATAGACACACCTTGTAGGCTGAGTTCCCTCTTTTATGATGCCGGGTGTCTCTGGCAAGGTGAATGGCAACATGACTTGCACTTGTCATTGTTCCTGCTCAGCTGATGGATGAGGTGCTGTGCAGCTAAATAAAGCAAAGTGCCCGCAGAGAGAGGGATGATCCCTGGACCAAAAAAGGGTTATTCCAAAGTCGAGGTTATTATGAATTACAATGTAAACCACAATAGAAGGATATTTGAAAGCAATATTCTGTGTCCTAAATGCTGCTGAAAAGAAAATGCTTTTTGCTTACCTTAAGTGATGTTCTTTTGGTGATCTCAAGCTCAGTGGCTTTTAATGATTAATGAGTAATAGGCTTATTTTAATGCTGACCTGAGAATGCATTTTGCACCTCAAAAAATGCAACAGATTAGCCACAACTGGGACATGTATTCTTTTAAGTAATTCTCTCCCAGATGTGATTAAGTAATGTCTTGGAATGTGCCCAGTAGCAGCCCACATAGGAAACCAGCTAGCCAGGAAAGAATCGATTGAAACCAAGCACCTAGTACCATTGCGATGAGGCAGTCCTGATAATCATTCGCCTTCCGGAAACCCTTCCTTTCCAAAGGCGGACTTTAAAATACAGCTTTGAAATCCATTTGCTTGAACATAAGAGTTACAGCTTTAGGATTATTTTTAAAGGCACTCAAATGTCTATCAGATTCCTCCTCCTTTTTTGTTTTTATATTTACACATGTGAAATGTATTTAGAACAAAGAGCTTGAGGATCAGCTCTCCCCATTTAATTGTGTCTGTGAATTATAGTAAACTTAACGAGGGGCTGGCTTAACTCAAAACAATGACCAGGTATCTGATATTTAATAGCTGTTCTAACTTCTTGGTTGTAATGATCCCAAACAGCCTCTCTGAAAATGAGCAGTGGAGAGTCCAGAAAGGGGGAAATCTCGGGACCCCGCCATCCAGCTGCTGCCTGTGCCAGCATCTGGCTCTTTAGAGATGGGACCGCCAACCACTCTCAGAATGATGCTACCTGTCAAGGTAGACATTGGCTTGAATAGTGATTTCCTTTCCTGGTGTTGGGACATCCCCCAAAAAGCTCCTCATGAAATTAAACAGCTGTAGGGGCAAAGTTTGCAAATGGGCTTCTGAACCTCAAAATACTGACAGCTACCATTTAGTAGATTGACATCTGGAACAGATGTTTTACTGCAGTGCTCTGTGTACATTACTCACAACCTCCTGAGGTCATACTATTACCATCATCCCCATTGTACAGAGGAAATGGAGGCGCAGAGGGGATAAATCCCTTGCCCAGGGTCCCACGGACTGCGAGTGACAGAGCTGGGATTTGACGTTGGAGCACACAGCCTTTTAACGTACCTTTATATGCAAAAGGAGCTGGGAAAAGCAATCATAACTACCGCATGGAAACTATTAGATTCCCAACCCATGAAGTCTAATAACTGGGAGAAATTTCTAAAATCACCTGGGATACTCCCCCAGTATCCCAGAGGCAGAGGAGATGTATTTAACCATTCGGTTTTTTTCCCCTCAGCATTTTATTTCCTGAAGTTCTCTTAATAAAGATGAAACATTTCAATCAATGGCATTAAGGTTGAAAGTTAAAAATAAGCTGAGAACTCTTTTCTTTCTGTGGAAGGATTTTTAAATTAATAATTCAGCTCTCTGAAAACTGTATGTGTCCACAGATTGTCACTTTTCTATTTTCTCTCTGTTTGTACATACATATAAGTGAAGTCCTTGTTCCCACCCTTCCATGTTCACTTTTCCATCTAAACTTGGCTACTTTATTCTTCTGTATTGCCCCGCTCAACATTAAGGTAGGAAGGTAAAGTGAGACTCAGAACTGCCATTTTCCTTTGCTGATAATAGAAGTGAGAAATAAGTACAGTCACTTAAAATCAATGCACCTTTTATTCTTTTCCTAGTTAGTTAGCATGCCTGGAAGAGTTCCTGATGGGGGACATGTATTGAGATTTTTACCAAGATCAAAACAAGTTTCATTTCAGGGGCCCCCTTTTGATTTTTATGGTGAAATTTTATTATCCTTTTTTATCTCCTAAGCTTGAGTGTTTGCCTTCATCAGATTCCCTTTCTCCTCATCCATATTTGTATAGAAAAATTCGTATATTATTTGAAACATTGTAAGAGCTTTAGATTCCAATTTAAAAGACAAAGAAGTCTTTCATTACCGTCAGAGGCCAGTTCCATAAGCTTGTGATGTATCAAGTAATTAGTCGTTAGGAAAGCAAATGAACAGATTAGAATTTTTTAATTACTGACATTAATCAGCGGAGGAAGCCCGAGAAAGCTTTACAGACTTTCCCCAGCTCTTCCCCCCCATCTGCCTCTTCTCTCCTTCTGAAAAAGAGAAAGTTTAGAGCAACGGTGTTTGACATGATTGGATTTCAAAGCCACCCTGGAAAGGTGTGCCGACGCAGGAACGGGTCTGGGTGAGCGGACAGGAAGGCAGGGAGACGCCAGGTGCCCCCGAGAGCCGGCACTGCACCAGAATTCTCCCTCACGCAGGAATAACAGCAACCGTAAAGGTTTGAGGTTTGAAAACAGCAGTGCCATTATTTGTTTATGTATTTACTTCAGAAGAGCCAGAATTTGAAGCTCAAATGTGAATTGGTGATCTTTAAGAGAAGCTCATTGCCAATTATGTAAAGGATAAAATGTAGATAACGAGTGGGGTTGCCTGAGCTTTAGGAATTTGACCTTTTGCATTCTTCCCTACAGAGCAATAAATGACCATCAGGGCAAGCTGTGGGAAGACACTGGAACCGTACTGAGCACTGCTCTCGTACCACGAGATTCCATAAATAGGCAAATTTTAACCGAGGGCAAGAGCCTCTCCTAGCACCTGCATCTCCCTCTAGCATAGCACCTAACCCTTCTTACTGTCATTACTTATCTACATGTCTGTCTCCCCCTAGAGTGTGAGCTCCTCGAGGGCAGGAACCCTGTTTTTATTCATCTTTGTGTCCCGGTGCCAAGCACAGTGCCTGGCTCATGGTAGGTGCTCGCTCCATGTTTGTTGAATGAATATAGCAGTGCTTCTTGGGTTGATCAGCTAATTTCTTTTTGTTTATTTTGTTGGGTTTTTTGGTTTTGTTTGGTTTTGCCTAGTGTTGTTAATGCCTTTGGTAGACTGAAGGAAAGGAAAGAGCCTCTCCCCCGATATTTTACATTTCGCGTTGGCTTTCCTAGGAATCACCCGTCGGTCATAGTGCAACCAGGAAAGAGACCTTTACCTGTGGAATCTCCGGACACCCAAAGGAAGCGCAGGATCCACAGATGCGACTATGACGGATGCAACAAGGTGTACACTAAGAGCTCTCACTTGAAAGCGCACAGAAGAACACACACAGG